ACGACTAAAATAGACGCTTGCGGAACTCTATTCGACCCTTACACAAGCTTGCGTATGGGTCCTACCATCTGATGTAAATAAGCAGATGGGTCTTGACTTTGTAACTTAAAAAAGAGCAAAGACTATAACACTTTAACCTACAAATAACAATCGAACATTTTAACTAAATCTACCGTGTCTGTGTTAGTGTGTGTGTGTGAGTGTGTGTGTGTGTCGGTATCAAGAGGCTGTATGTTAAGTTATTTAACATATAATAACAACGGCTGAGCTAGACCAGATTTTAAAACTAGAGTAAAAAATCCACTGAAATTTTAACAACTTTTTAGCATTGTATGAACTGCTAATTATTATATCGGAGTGTTAAAAAAAAGAAGAAAAAAACTCCCTTTAAATCAAAATGATAAAAAAAATATTACATCGTATCCAGCCCTCACTATTGTCATACACTAGCTCCCATTAAAACTGACTCATTCTATTATTTTATCCTTTGTTTTCATTCACACCCAACCATATTTTACATACATGTAGAACAAATCAATAACATGACATTTTCGTCTCGAATACCTCCCCTGAACCTCACCTCTACATATCCGTTCACCCCCCCCCCCCCACACACACACCCACCCACACCACAGGCCCGATTTGCATTGTTCTGTGTGTCAGGTCTACCGTACGTTCCTGTACGCTAACTCCGGATAAAAAAAGGGGAATAACTCGCTTCACGTCGTCACACAGGGGGAGGTAAATCAATAAACACCTACTAACTAAGACGTGTATCGGTATTCAAGGGGCAAGCAACTTGTTGGGTTGTGGTTCTTAGACTGACACATGCGATACAGAGGGCAGAGTCAAGACATGCATTTTTATAACCTTAATTGTTCCTTGGCTTGGTGCGAATGGGTTAGCATGTGTGTGAGGTTGAGGGGGGTGTAGGGTGGGGGGTGAGTGGGGGGGGGGGGGGTGAGGGATATGATTTAAATGTGAGTGGCCTCGCTGCATGATATGCTGGCCTGGCCAGCCGGTGTAGGCCTATAGGGAAAATTTCCGGTGGGCCCATTGGAAGAGATCCCGGTTGGATCCTCGGTAGAGATCCCGGTGGGCCCCTCGGTAGAGATCCCGGTGGGCCCCTCGGTAGAGATCCCGGTGGGCCCCTTGGTAGAGATCCCGGTGGGCCCCTTGGTAGAGATCCCGGTGGGCCCCTTGGTAGAGATCCCGGTGGGCCCCTTGGTAAAAAATACCGGCGGTCCCTAGGAAAAGATCCCGATGGGCCCCTAGGAAAAGATCCCGATGGGCCCCTAGGAAAACATCCCGATGGGCCGCTAGGAAAAGATTCCGATGGGCCCCTAGGAAAATATCCCGATGGGCCCCTAGGAAAAGATCCCGATGGGCTATCAGGTAAAATATACCGGTAGGTCCCCGGGAACGGTGCTATACAAGTTCTATTACTCCTTTGATTAAAAAAAAAATAATTCGTAGATATCTCTCCATTTAACCATTTGCAATCCCTCATACTAATTTAGGTTTTGATGAAGACAAAATACAAAATAAAAATCTAAATCTGGGGTTGGGGGCCCATTTTAAAAATTTACCAGGCTTCTTGGACAAATCTGCAACCCCTTGTGCAGGGTCCATAATACTATACGATCTCTCGGGTTATTCCCATCTTAGCGCTAGAACCTATATACTGGAACAAAATGTTAGACTTTGTTTACACAGAGGGGGGGGGGGTCGCCATTTGAATCAGGAAACGAGGCTCGCTTCGACCCGGTGCATAAAGGGTAGCCTAGCCAACAATGGTTGCCACAATATGAACACAGTTTTCTAATATTTAAAGTCTACAGGTCGATACCACTTAATCTGATAAAAGAATGCTAACTCATGACCATATACTATATGCACATAAATGTCTCATTTGCTTTCTCTTTCCCCCTTTGCCTATTCATATATATATATATATATATATATATATATATATATATATATATATATATATATATATATATATATATATATATATATATATATATATATATGTAATGCCTATATAATTAGGATTGTTTAATCTAGGTAAACAATGAGCTAGCGTGTTTCAATTACATTTTTACTATGGGCACATATTTTGACTCAAGGCACAAGGTACTAATGAGATGACGCATAGACATTCCTAAGCTAGGTAGTGTTAACGTGAAGTCCAATGACGTAACTAAACACCAAGGGGTTAACTAAAGGATTTGACGAAATTCCTAGGCAAGTAATTTAAACAGTCAGACATAAGGTGGTGGTGGGGTGAGGTTAAACTGAACAGGACAAAACATTTTTACACACTGGGGGTAGGGGTGGAGGAAAGGACTGAGATTGGGGGCAGGGGGGGGGGGTTTGATTCTGGGGTGGGGGGGAAAGTTTAAGTTTAGGGGAGGGGGTGGTTCTGGGGTGGGAGAAAGGGTTGAGTTGGGTTGGAGGAAAGGGCTGAGTTTAGGGGGGGGGGGGTGGTTGATTCATGGGTGGAAGAAATGGTTGATTCTGGGGGGGGGGAGGAGTGTTGATTCTGGGGTGGACGAAAGGTAGAGTTTGGGGGGGGTGTGATTCTGGGGTGGGAGAAAGGGTTGATGCTGGGGGTGGGTGGGAAGTGTTGATTCTCGGATGGAAGAAAGGGTTAAGTGTGCGATTGTTAAAAGGGTTGATTCTGGGGTTGAGGAAAGGTTTGAGTTTGGGGGGCGGGGGTTGATTCTGGGGTGGGGGAAAGGTTGAGCTTAGAGTGTGGAAAAGGGTTACCCTGGGGTGGAGGAAAGGGTTAAATGTGAGGTTGTTCGAAGGGTTGATTCTGAGGTGAGGGAATGAAATATTTCTGGTGGGAAGGGTTCAGCCTGGAATGGGGTAAGGTTTAGTCTGGGTGGGGAGATGGTTGTGAATTGTGAATTGTGTATGTGTAGTTGCCGTGGTAGGGTTACACTGAAACCGCATGCGAACGACCCGGTGTTATGCAATCAGATATCAGAACTCGTGTTAGAAATACTAGCTAAACAATAGGTAGATCATAAATAAACATTGCACGCGGGCAAAGTGTTGATTAAATGTGCTATGTATGTATTGCTTTGGTATACATTTATCCATCACAGACACCGTTTAAAAAGTATGTTTTTGTTCTTGAGTTTTTTAGTCTGGGATATTTTGTCTGACATTTGTCCTGAGATATTTAGTCCGTGGAATATTTTATCTGAAATATCTTATCTGAGGTCATTTTTGTTTTGAGATACTTAACGGGATATTTTCTCATGGACATTTTGTCTGAGATCTATAGTCCTGATAATTATTTGTCGTCTCACTCAGTTCATATTTTCAAAACTGTAGAAAGCATTTTATGAGCCACAATAGGCAAATTAGTGCTTAGCCTTAATTAAATGTTTAGAAGCCAACTGATTAAACCCCAATTAACATAATGCAATGCATTTTAATTAATTAACCTTATAAACATTTGAAGAAGCACAAGAAGCTGTTTTGTTTTTTAATAGAAATGCAACAAAAAAATCAAAACCTTTCAAAATGATTTTTTTTTCAGATGTATATTTTTATTTCCTTTGTAAGCAAAAGCTACCATTTATCGAGTAGAAATAATCGACATAACACACACACTATGCAAGTCGGGCTCATTAGTGATGATTTTACGCTATACAGTATGAACGCAGACTTATTGTGTTTTTGGTATGTTGTTTTTGGTTGACATTAGAGCAACAACAATAGAACACATCCTGATTAGTAAACATGAATTGTGGTAGCATTGATTTTATTGGTTAAAGGAAGAAAAGAGTCAGTTTGAATTTTTTCTTTATAGATTTGTGTGGTGAAGAGAGTTCAATGACGGGTTTTCCGAATTTTTTTTTCGATTTTTTAAATAGAGGTTGGTTGATGGAAGGTGGGATACCTGTTACTTTATTTTTCAATCTTTGTTATATGTGGGTTTGATTTCATGTGTCTGATATGGATGTGGTTTGATTTATTATTGACGATTCTGTGGTTTGTGTGTATTGATGAGGGGGGGGGGGGGGTTGATTTGTATGTTGAGGTTGTGGTTTGTGTGTATAATGAGGTTGTGATTAGATTGTCTAAAATAAGGGTGTGGCTTGTGTGTATAATGAGGTTGTGATTAGGGTGTCTAAAATAAGAGTGTGGCTAGTGTGTGTAATGAGGTTGTGGTTTGTGTAAAATGAGGGTGTGGTTTATTTGTAATGAGAATATGTTTTATGTTAATGAGAGTGTGGTGAGGGTGTGGTTTGTGCAAAATGAGGGTGTGGTTTGTTTGTAATGAGAATATGTTTTATGTTAATGAGAGTGTGGTGAGGGTGTGGTTTGTGTAAAATGAGGGTGTGGTTTGTTTGTAATGAGAATATGTTTTATGTTAATGAGAGTGTGGTGAGGGTGTGGTTTGTGTAAAATGAGGGTGTGCTCTGTGTGTAATGAGGATGTGTTTTATGTTAATGAGAGTATAGTAAGTAAAAATTCCCTTTCAAATCGGAGTCAATGATCTCAATGGCGCATAACCAGTTGACACGTATCCTTAATTGTGTTGGAGGCGTGGTTGATTAATTCGAAAAAAGTCTCGAGTTCAAACCCACTGGCAGATAAATCTCGATCCTCTTCAACACTAAAAATTAAGAACGAAGAGGAAGAAACCTGACGGTCTACATGGCAAGTGAAGTAGAGTTCACTTGTTTCCGTGACCTCTGCTTATGAAGGGTGGGGTTTATGTATAATAAGGGTGTGGTTTGTGTGTGTGTATGATAAGGGTGTGGTTTGTGTGGCTGAAGAGGGCGTGGTTTGTGCGTATAATGATTATGTAGTTTGATTTGAGTCTGATAAAGGCTTGTGCAAAAGTGTGTTTTAATTAGTACTAAAATATTTTTGTTCTTGAGAAAAACCTAAAACTAGTACCAAAAAAAAACCATCACTTTTACACAACATAGTAAAAAAATAGTTCTATAATTATAAATCACGTGACAACCTACCTTCTAGCATCCTCATGCCCTTGACCTCCGCCATTTTCCTCACCCTCTCCTCCAGCTGCATGGTACTCTCCCTCTGTACCTCCGCACGTTTCCTCCCCTCCGTCCCCATAAATCCCTCCTCTCCCCCATACAGAAGACCGTCTGATGAGCTACTGTAGTCGCTCTCTCGTCGTGGTGTCGCTACTGTAGACATGACTGGATGCTGTAGTTAAGTTTCTTGATTGTTGGACTGGGTGGTTTAACTTTAGTTAAGTCCCTTGATTGTTTGGGCTGGGTGGTTTAACTTTAGTTAAGTCCCTTGATTGTTGGACTGGTTGGTTTAACTGTAGTCAGTTGAATGTTGGACTGAGTGGTTTAACTGTATTTATTTGAACGTTTGACAGTTTAACTGTAGTTACTTCATCCTGGGGCTGGATTGTTAAACAGATGAATATTGGACATGGTGGTTTAACTTTAGCTCCAGTCAGTTGATCGTTGGACAGTATGGTTTAACTCTAATCCTGACAAGTAATCCTTAGGCAGGGCAGTTGGCTCAAGGCTAGGGAAGTGACAATTGAGCTGGTCAAATGGGTTTAGGCTGGGAAGTTGTCTCAAGGTCAGACAGCTGATCCTTGAGCTGGGCAGTGCAGTTGACCTAACAATTGATAAGTGACTCCTATGCCGGTCAGAAGACTGTATGGTAGAACAGTTGACATAAAACCAGAAAGTTGGCCTTTGGGCCGGTTATACGGCCTATAATTAACTTAGACGACACTTAGTTCTAAACAAAAACTAAGACGTTGACCATTTGGAAATAAAGTTGACCATAGTCCAGATAATTGACGTATCCAAAACCTAAGTCCAACCCATCTAGAGTAGCTGCCTGCAAGTCCACACATTCGTTCTCTAACTCAGTTGACCAGAACTGGAGATCCAACAGTTAATTAATTAAGGGTCACCATCCATGGTAAAAAATAAATAAAAGCTGCAATTTAAAATAATAATAAAAATATTTTAAATACGTGATATAACGATAACAAACTATCAATTATTCAATGACATGAATCTAAGCTACGAAATTGTGAGTATTCAATGCATAAGAATATTATGAATTTTTCAGCAATCTAATGGGGTTAAGTAGTAAGCAAAAGAAAGGGATCATATAAAAACGAAAATCTTGCTAAAGTATTGAGAATTAGACGTAGATTTAGATTTAAATGTAATGGTGATTTAGATGGCTATATTTTCATATAGCGAAGACGATGCTTATTTATATGTGATGATTTAGGCCAGGGGTCTCCAAAGTTTTCAGCCCGAGGGCCGCATTAACTATAAAATATCAGTTTGGGGCCAGTTTCTTCCAGGCATCTCTTTGGGGGTGGCGGAGCCCCCACCCCCACCATCACCGAAGAACATATACCCCTTCTTCCCCCCCTCTCAACGAAATATAAATTCTATAGAAATATATCTAAATTTCAGCGACTCATCCATTGCAATTGAAACATGGCGAAGCTTGCTTGCATTTTTCGCTATTTGAGTCAAAATGTTTTCACCAATGTCTGCAACACGGCGGGCAATGGTATTTGCACCCAAAGCTACATTTTCAACTTTGTTTTGAATTTTCTGGTAATAGTTCCTCAGCCACCTCAAAGAAACATTTTTTTCCGTGGACAAAAAGATCTCAGCGGGCCGGATGAGAGGACCTCGCAGGCCGCAGTTTGGATACCCCTGATTTAGGCCTTAGGCAAAGGTAAAGTCGATGCCATATTTTAGAACATGATGTAGACTATGATGTAGATTAAGTATTGATTTAGATAGAGCAAGATTTAAATGATTTATATGTTGTGTTGATTTAAATGTTGCGGGATTTATATTGAGATTAAATATATGTTGTGATAATTTAGTACTTTAACTATCCTAAAGTCAACCAACATTTCCTTTACTTACATAAGGAAACTTTCCCTTTCCTGAGACTATTTACTTAGTACCACATAAAACAAAAGTAAAGTTCCCTTTAAGAAAATGACGGTCCATGGGGCAAGTGAAGTAGAGTCCACCTGTTTCTGTGACCCTGGCATATGCAGGGGTAGTACGGTCAGTAGTATGCCCAGCTGTATTCACTTTCCCTAGCATGAGTTAGGTACCCATTATAGCTGGATGGGCTCAGGGATGTTCTACTAACTTGAACCCGGAGAACTCAAGACTTACGGGTTAACAGTCTAACGCTTTACATCTAGGCCACGCAGTTCCATCTGAGTACCATATAACCTACTTAAAACTGACCACAATATTGCTCTACATCAGTTTAATAACAACACAGATCTTTTGACTTGTAGCTATCAGTAGTATGAAAATAAAAGCTTCCTTGTGTAAGTGTTGGGTGCATTCAAAAGATACTTTGTTAGTTCTTTTATACTGTTCAATTGTTTACTTTTTGTACATCTTTATACATCAATAATATAACAATTTACTCACATCTCCATCCAGTATAAAGTTATTTACCATTTTCATAGGCCAACCTACTATTTATATTGTATAGAACGTCTAAAAATCAGCACTCTTCAAAACAAGTAAATGGTCTAACACACATCACTTAAATTACATTTTACAAACCAAACAACAGCTGCCTTTGGTGGTGTGTTTATTTATAAAGTGAGCTACAGTTCACTAGTCGTGTCAGATAAAAGTGCTGAGCACATTGCTATTTTTAGAACAATTTAAATGTGTTCAAATGTTTTGATTTGTATGTTTACACACACCATGATACAGAGCAATTTACTTGTGTCAATAAACAGTCTAAAATAGATTACAATATTTTTTTTTATTGCCGCCCGAACTCACATTGTAGATTTACGAGTGTTTAATTTATAGTCATTAGGACATACTTAATCTTTCCAAACTGTCATTCATATAAATAGAGAGAAGGGGTACTTATCTTTACAATGTTTTTTATTTTTCTATATATTTATTATGTCCCTATAACATTCCTAAGACTGTTAATTAAAATGAAAGTAATTTTATTAAAAGATTACTACTTACCTTTTAAAAAAAAATTCATGCTGTTTTGTTAGAATCCAGAAATGAATGTAATTTTAGAAACGCCCTTCCTGTTATTAAGTTAAACTTCACAACAAATATTAGATCGTCGTTCCATAGATTTCATCCACTCCCACCACACACAAGGCCTGTTGTTCCTCACACCCTCAGTACCCCCACACTCCCACACACTGACCTCAGTCGACCGTTACAGTCACCTAACCTCGGCCTGTTTACAGCCTGCCCGTCTGTTTTAGCAGATTGATCTAAAAATAAACTCAATGCTTTCATCTACATAAAAGAAAAAAACTAAATTTTTTTTTCAAACGGAACCCGTGTCATGACATTGACTGTGAGAATAAAAGTGTCTCAATACCCGTTCTAATGTATCGATTTTAGATTATCGATTCTGTTTTATGGTAGGTGTAGAGGTGTAGGTTCGATTGATTGATTTGTGTAGTGAGTTTGTTTCGTTGTTTGGCCCCTCTTTGTTGTCAATGTTTTGGTCCATGTTTTACGCCGGTTGTCAAAGTTTTAATGTACTTGACATCGATGTTTTAGACTTATCTTCTGACACGTTCATTAAGTCAGGATTTTTAAAAATGTGTGTTTAAGTCTACAAATTATGTCGTTTAAATTACACACTTTCTTTTATTTTTGTTCAATAGTTTTAGTCATTACAAAGTAAAGTTCACTTTTCGAACCTGTCTGCCTCAGTGTTTCTTCCAGACTCTGTTCTCCGGGGGTCCGGGGGGGGGGCACTTAAAATTTTCGGGGGGAGGGGGCGGGCGGACAATGTTAAAAGTATATATTTTCTATATAAATTCCATTTCGTTCGGGGGGCGCTAAACTTTCTTTTTTTGGGGGGGGGGGGGTCGGAGTCACCCCCCTCCTCGAAGAGATGCCTTGAAGAAACTCTGGTCGGCCTATGGGGCAAGTAGAGCTCACCTGTTTCTGTGACGTCGGCTTATGAAGGGATAGTGTGATCAGCACCATGCCGAGCCAACATTACGCTCTCAAACGTGAGAAGGTAACCCAACTTAACTGGGTGGACAGGCTCTTTCTGCTGATTTGAACCCGGACTCGAACTCGAGACTTTCGCGCTAGCAGTCTAGCGCTCTGCCGTCCCATTTTATTCATTAATGATATATACTTCTTCCGTCACTGGTCAAGAAAACACCAGAAATGCAACTTGGTAAATAACACAAGAAAGATGGGTTACCACTGAATAGGCCTATAGTTTAAAAAACGTATCCTAACGTAACAAAATAAAATATACTATTATCTTGTGTGTGTTTCTTCTTTGTATTGTTTATCACAAATTGGGCCTGTTGTCTCTCTTCATTTAGTATTTACTCTCAAATATGTCAATATTTTAATGTGGGTACCTAGTATTATAGTAAACTATCTACGTTCGTTCGATTTATTGTGCTTTTTACTATGACTGATTGCTGATACTTTTTAATGCATTACGATTGGTTGAAGTCAAAGCTAAATAAGCCCTGTCACATCAAACACGACAGTAAACGTTATTGATGAATATAAACATTCAGATGCAGTTTCGAAAAACTTAACATCGGAGTAATCAATATCCAACAAAAGAAACAAAAAAAAGTTTAAAGGAAAAACAATATCAAAAGGTCTACGAAAATGTACATTGTTACCAATAGACGAATTACAATTTTAAATATTCGCAGCCCATGCATGTTATATCTTCTTCGAAATATTTGTGGTTAGTGTTTGTATAGTTCTTCGTATCTACCCTTGGAAGTGTGTGTGTGTAGGGGGGGGGGTGTTTACAAACAAAATATTTCAAAATCAATTTCCGAGACATTACAGTTTGTTTTTCCGGAAGTATGCCTCGAGTCAGTTTTCAGTTTTCAGATTAAAGATTTTTTTATTCCACGTTGAAATCAACATCGTTCACGCCACGCTTCGCCTCTCTACAAGCCAAAGATCAAACGTCCAAAATCGATAAATCAGTGCAAATCATTATTGAACACTTGTCAAGCAGGTCAACATTGGTATCGATTTTGGTAAAAGATCACACTGTCTGCAACACCGTGTGCAACACCGTCCGACCATTGATCAAATGTTAGAACAGCTAATTGAAGTCACTTTGTACACGTTCGCACAGTACGCGTGTATGT